TATAGATGATCTCTCAATTTAGATTTGACTGATGGTATTTTTATGAATAGCTCTGATTCAATTTAGGGGAGGGAAACCTTAGGATCATTTCATGTCCAGGATCCATACAGCTGAAAGTAACTTCCATCTTTTGCTGAGGTAGGAGTTGTCAAGTGTTTTCACTGTAAGATTCCCTTTCCTCTCTGATATATCTCCATCTGTTGGGAAGGCAGTCAACATGCCCAGATCACACTTAGGAGTGGGGATGTATATCCATCAATTTGAGAACAGAGGACCTGCACCCATTATGGGAAGTAGGAATAAGAAATCTGTCTGTTTTCCCTGTATATTTGTTTACTCAACTTCTTATTTATTTCTGTATAGACTCATGGGTTTTTATTTCATGTTTTGGATTGTAAGACAGTCCTAATTTACTTTGTTGCTAAAATTTCTCTAATGTTGACCACAGGGATTTCTGTCTGTTGGCTCCCTGTCCCTCTTTTAACATGTTTTCTCCTCATTCTGGAGGAAGATATGGCTTTTAAAATATAATGACCAATAAAACACTGTGACCACCATTTGCAGTTATATTGTTTTCTTTGATAAGTCCTTTGAGAGTCCTCCTAGAGTAGCATTCAGAAAGAAGGGCATCTGCTATCCAATATCTCACCCAACAAGGATCCTTTGTTTTTTTCTTGTATCTTCTGTCTCACTAGTAACATTAGCATTAATCAAAGCATCTCACAGAGTCAGAACTGCTGCATAAGGATGAATGATTGCAATTGTTTCTGTAAAGGAAGCTTTCTTACTCTGTGGACCATAGAACTGCAAATTTTGTGTACACTTTTTGGGAAAGAACCTCTCATCAGATCTCTGTGGGCTCTTTAACTCCAAGGGCTACAGAATCACTGTGACAAGAACTACCACAGCCTCTAAGTTCTACATACCTCATTTTTCCCTTGTGTCTGTGACCTTGAACTTGCTCTAGGTCATGCCCAGAATAACTCTCATACCCGTTACAGACAGATCCATGCTACTCTCAAGTGTGAGAGGCCTTTTGACCATATTGAACTTGTAACCCTATAAAATAATAAGGCAGTAATTCCTTTAGAATCAGAATATTGGGTTGAGGGAGAAGATTAAGACAGTATGCTCAAACAAATCTGTTTTGAACTGCTCGCTGTGGGATCATGTATAAATAAGAATGTTCTACAGTTAATGGAAAATTGAAGGTCTCCATTTAGAAAGCAATTGTGGATTTTTCTTTCATTGCTGGGAGACATTACATCACATAGCTCTATATCCTGACACATTCCTTGCATAACTTTACATATTAGTAATGACTTTGGTTCAATTTTAGGCAAAGGAACAAAAGAGAGAACTGGTTGTAGAAAGGTTTTGATATAAAACATTATTTTCTCTAGTCATTTGATAACTTTGACTGAGTAGGATAAGTTATTTTCTTAAATTAATATCATATTTCCAAGAAATGAAATATCTTGCTTTGAAATATATTGGAATTGTTGATAGATTTGCTGAAGTAAAACAAATAGTGTAGTCAAATGAATAAAACATTGGGCTGAGATTTAGGATATGGAAACTTAAGTACTGACACAGGCCTGAAGTCCATAGCCTAATTAAAATCATTTAATTTTTCTTGATCTTATGCTTATTTTGAAAATATATTAATAGCTTTCACAATTGTAAGGATAAGTGTGTTTTCATCAGTAGAGATTATTTTAATGTGGTTCTATTATTTCTAAACCAAACAAAAATAATATTTTTAGGTGAGGAAAAAAATCCTGAGTTCATGTGTGTCAATTTAAATTGCACAAGAATTTACTTACATTTTAAAGTATCCCTGGGTTTCTACTATAAAGATAGGTGAACTGTTGATTAAAATATTCATATGAGGTTGGTTACCTGTGATAGATGTAGAAGCACATATTAAAACACATAAAAAGAGTAGAAAAGGGGCTGTCAGATATTTGATAAAATCCCTGGTAAGCTTATCAATTGACATTGAGTTTCTGTAGTTAAGGCACAACTTGTACTAAACTATGAGGAGAAATAGAAGCATTGAGAGATGATTAACCAAGAAATAAATTGCAGACTAAGCCAACTACTAATACTACTGATTTTATTATTTTAGTTGTCATAGAACTTAAGGTGTAGTATTAGTATATATAATATTATATTATATATATTAGTATGTATAACAAATATTATAGTAGTATAAATACTGTTTTATATAGTATATATTATATATGCAATAATTATATATATTGTATTATATACTATATAGTATTATACTATACTAATATTATATAGTATACATATAATTTTTATACACACACACACACACACACACACACACACACACACACCCTAAAGCAATACATATATGTATGCTGTCCAATAAAAAGCGACAGAAGTGCTAGTGTCTCATTTCTATAGTCATAGCTCCTGAGGAGGCTGTGATCTGGAGGATTTCAGTTCAAACCAGCTTATACAGAGATACTTAGGGAAATTTTCTCCAAAATAACAAAAAGCAGGGATGAAGGTTGCTTCAAGTGATAGAGTACTCACCAACCAAGCATGGAGCTCCAAATTCAAACCAATATTGCTTAAAAAAATAAAAAAGGAAATTACAGTATACTGTTGATGTGGGCCAGGCTTCTTCACTGGGAAATGGAGAGACTAGGGTAAGTGTTCAAAGAGAATCACTCACACATAAGTTCTACATTGCCAAACTGAATCTAAAGTGCTTGCTTTTCCATCCAAGCAGTCAAGGTTAGAGGAGTAACTGATAATTTCCTGAATATGCTGCTTTTAATTAGCATGATAAGAATATGCAGGTTTTAATTAGCATGATAAGAATTCCTCTCTACCTTAATCTTTCACAAAAATAAGATAGTTTGAAATAACCTGATTTGTCTAGTTGGTGTCTACACATTGATATGGCAGAAAGAGCTATGAAATAATTGCCATTGTACTTTGGTGAAACGATGGAGGCAAAAGTTTAGAAAAGAGATGAATTTCAAGGGAATTTTAATAACAGTCTAGGTTTAGATTTGTATATTGAAAAAGATGAAATCCAGTAATGGATGAAGAGGGACTAATTCTGTTTAGATTATTGGAAGAATTACAAAAGTTGATAGAGATAGATGGCTAGAATTTGAGTCTAATTGACCCAGCTTACAGATAAAAGAAAAAAAAATGAGGCCTGAAAGTTTGAAACTGTAAAACTTAGTGTTATCTTAGCATTGTTAAGAAGAAATGCACTTAGAATTTGTATCAAGAAACATAATAATAGTTGTCATTAATTCATCCAATACAAGTGTATTTCATAATTCTATTTTCCTCCCTTGAGTAAGAAGACTAGTAGATGGGTTTGAACACTAACTTGCATCTTGATATCCGATTTTCCCTTCATTCCCTTCAGCATGTTCTGGGTGTGATTAAGAAAAACAATTGACTCTAAGGAGGTTCCAATTTCACCTGCAATGAAATAAAAAATCTCATTACCCAAGTTCAAATACCTGAAGGTGTGATATTTGATTTGATAAAACCATGGGAAGAAATTTTAAAAATCTATATAAGCTCCTTTACCTTTGGGAAATGTAGTTGATCGTTTTCATTTTCTACTTCAATGTTTCCTACCCCAATGTTTTCTATTTCAAAGAAGTACATGTATCAATTCAGTCTTATCAGATTTGTTTTCCATAAACTTGAATATTTAACTCAACAGGCAGGTTATTCAATGAACTTGTTGAGAAAATATCATTTTTCTAGTATTTGTGTGATTTTTTATGACATTTTAGAGTGTCCCTCTGGTCACATTATATCATTTACATAAAGCTTTACTTAGGTAGAGAGTTAAGAATAAACAACATTTTAAATCATTCTTTGAGTTGGGTGCCAGTGGCTTACACTTAAAATCCTTGCAACTGTAGAGTTTGAGATTTGAGAATGGAAGTTTAAAGCCAGCCCTGGCAAACAAATCTTTGAAAATTTTGCCTCCTATTAGCCAGCCAAAAACAAAGCCAGTTATTTGGCTCAAGTGGTAGAGTACCAGTGAGAGAAAAAGCTGAGTGAGGATGTAAGACTCTGAGTTTAACCCACACACATAGAAAAGCTCTTTGTTACCATGTCTCACTAAATACATCCTATTTTTTTCTTCTGAACAGTTAAAATCCTACTTATTGAAATGAAAACATATTTTTATTGTTGTTGTTTTTGTTGGTATTGATTTTGTTTTTGCTTTTTAACTTTTTTTTTGTAAAGATAATGTACAGAGGAGTTACAGTTACATGAGTAAGGTAATGAGTACATTTCCTTTCGAACATTGGGAACCCTACTGCATTGGTATGAGTGTAAACTTGTTCAACCACGTTGGAAAGCAGTATAGTATAGAGGTTCCTCAAAAAACTACATATAGAGCTCGGCTATGACTCAGCAATTCCACTTTTGGGCATTTACCCAAACCATCACAAACAAGGCCATGCTATAGCTACCAGCACAACTGTGTTTATTGTGGCATTATTCACCATAACTGAGATAAGGAACCAACACAAATGCCCCTCAGTAGATGAATGGATCATGAAAATGTGGTAGATATATACAATGGAATTCTATGCCTCCATCAGAAAGAATGACATTTGAGTGTATCCTTTTTGTGCTTGCTTAGACTTTGATCACAATTTCTCTCAGGACAGGTAAGATCTGTCTGTCCCTAAGTAGCTTTAATAGAAAGTAACCTAGAATCTTTAGAACACTGTTTTATGGATTTAGTAAAATTAAATGTTAAAATACTTCTTTTTGTTGTTGTTACTTTTCATTCAAAAATCTCGTGTTGCTCACAATATCTTCTACTCTTTAATTCTGTTTAGAAAAGCCATATAGAAATTGTAGCTTTATTTCCAAAAAAACAAAAAACAAAATCTTTTCTCTCAGAAATTTACCATTTCTGTTGTTTACTGTTTCTTAAGCCTTACCAGGTTTTTTCTTCTTTCTTATAGTCAGCAGTCAGCAGAAGACCTCGCAAGAGTCCCTGCTAACTCCACCAGCAACATCTTGAACAGGCTGTTAGTCAGTTATGACCCCCGGATAAGACCAAATTTCAAAGGTTTGTTGCTCAACCCCTCCCAGCCCTATTCATTCTTTATAGTTGAGAAAGAAATTTTATCTGTATGCAATCATTCTTTGTGAGAGTCAAACAATGTAATTTCAAATTGGCATGTAACTATTCTGAAATCTGTTTAGGTTCAGAACAATTTAGTGCCCAAAATATTTATTAATAAGCAAAAGATTCATTCCAATAATCTTATATGGCTACAAGTAGAGAATAAAAACAAGAGCGTATGCTGTGATGAATAGGCTAAGCTCTGTAATAGCTTTTCTAAGTGCTGTATTTTTATATGTAGTGCTTTAAAACGTAGACTCTGACACACCTGCATTCATTTATAGACAAAGACTTCAGAATTTGTACAATCACCATTGTGATTGTAAAAGTAGGGAGAGCAGTTGTGGCATGTACTTAAATTCTACTTTTGTTGCTATTTCACTTTGAAAATATGTTCCTTCTACTCTTTTGCTGAAATAAAGAATGGCCATGTGGTTTTTAAAAAATGTGAACTTTATGAACAAAAGTGACTATGTGGTCTACAACAGAGATGATTTTTGTCCCAACAAAATAGTACCATTTATTACACCTTTCAAGAATGAAAACTATACTTAAAAAAATCATGGATAGATTGCATATTTATATAAGTCAAATTTTTGTTATGCTTTCATCTTTGTTGTTGTTGTTTGTTTAAATCTTGATGACTTAGGAAAGATTGTGGAAAAAATGTTCACATATGGGAAAGCTGTAATCCTTATTGATGGTTTAGGACAGATTTTGATGTAGATCAGATTAACATTTTAAAGCTTAATTTTTTTGTCTCTCCTTTGCAAAGAAAAGGTCTGCAGCTGCTTCCAGTCAAATGGCTATACAAGTATGTTGTAAAAACAGGATTTCTGTTCATTACCAGGCCTATTCAGTTACTTTCAACAGCAGCCTTGGTCTGGGCTGTCACATGTCTGCCCTGTAATGATTGGCCACCTGTTTTCCATCAGTCAGAGGCTATATGGCTAAAAGGCTACAGTCACATTTTCCCTTTGATAGCCCAACCAGAAGCCACAAGGAGTTAAAAAGAAAGATATTTGTAATGTTTGAACATACCTTAGCTTACAGTCCATGAATTTTAAAGTTATTTTCCAGCAAGTCAAGCAGAATCCTTTTAATGCCTCTACTATGTCTGATTAAAAATAAAAAATATATTTAAAATATATTAAAATATATCAAATCAATTTTCTTGGATAAAATTATACCAATTAATTTAAGAGCTGTAAATGATTAGAAAAATGTAAGAAAGCCCTAGTTGTTTTGTGATTGTTTAAGAAACAGTTTGCACTTTCTTGAAGACTCTTGAATAACACATTTTTAAGTGAAAACATTTTCTCATCTCTGTAATTTAAGAGGAAAGTTATTTTTGAATAATAAATACATAATATACAATTCATCTTTCTTTGATTTTTATCATATTATATATTTATATTATTATCCTACTTAAAAATTATAAGTATATTACATTATGGCCAAAGAGTTCATGTTTCATTGTGAATTTCTGAAAAAGGATAAAAATTGAAAATATAAACTGGATTATGCAAAATCTGACCAAGATTTTTACAGTTACTGACTATATCCTTTGTATTCATAGGCATTCCTGTTGATGTAGTAGTCAACATTTTTATTAACAGTTTTGGATCCATTCAAGAGACAACAATGGTAAGATGATGACTTAATGTTCTTTTTTATATTTTTTTGTTGTAAAAATACTGTACAGAGGAGTTACACTTACATGAGTAAGCTAATGAGTACTTTTCCTATCGAGCATTGTTACCCCTTTCTTTTTTTCCCTTACCATCCTTTCCCTCTCCTACTCCAGAACCCCCCCTCACCAAATTGTAAAGTTTGTTTTCAACATAGTGTCTTGTATATCTCATTGTTATAATGGGTCAACCTGTATCCTTGTTTTAGCATTTTGTTATTTCCCTTCCTCTCCACAAATTAGACAAGATTGCAGGGCACCAGAATCAAATACAGTGAAAATGGATTATACCATGGGGGGAGAACATACAAAAGAAACAAAAAAAAACCACATAGTACATTATAAATACATTAAAAACAACAGCAAGAAAGAAAAACCCACTTGTGTCCCTATCTTGGGGTTTGTTTTGCTTAACATCATCTTCTGTGATCATATGCACATAGCTTTTTAACTATTCTGCTTATCCTAGACCTTTACTAGTTATTGCAGATAAGGGAAACCATGGGACCTATGTTACTTTGGGCCTGGCTTACTCCACTTAATATAATTTTTTCCAAGGCTTTCCATTTCATAACAAATGGGACAATGTCATTCTTTTTGATGGAGGCATAGAATTCCATTGTATGTATATACCACATTTTCTTTATCCATTCATTTACTGAGGGGCATCTGGGTTGGTTCCAAAAAATCTTAAACAACTGCCCAATAAATAATTTTGGGCTAAAGACTTAAAGAGAGACTTCTCTGAAGAGGAAATAAGAATGGCCAATAGACACATGAAGAAATGCTCAACTTCTCTAGCCATAAAAGAAATGCAGATCAAGACAACATTGAGATTCTACCTCACCCCAGTTAGAATGGCTGTAATCAAGAAATATAATAACAGCAGATGCTGGAGGGGATGAGGACAAAAGGGAACCCTACTGCATTGTTGGTGGGAATGTAAACTTGTTCAACCACTTTGGAAAGCAGTATGGAGATTCCTCAAAAGACTCCACATAGAGCTCCCCTATGACCCAGCAATACCACTTTTGGGCAATTTACCCAAATCATTACAAACAAGACCATACTAAAGCTACCATCATGACTACGTTTATGACTTAATGTTGTTAATTGTCAGTTTCAGCTTCTGAATAGTGTGAATATCACTAAAGCTGGAAAATAAAGGAATAAGCCTAAAGAATGTTCTCTACTAGTATAAAATATCCCAAATGCTAGGTTGTGTTATATCCTTGATTTTGGTACCTTTTTAATTTTGCAATTCAAGTTTAATGCGTTAATGCCTCATTGACACTTTCAGGCATGGGAAAAAATACTTATGTATTCCCCCTGAGAAATGATTGGCTACATCCTAGGGAAAGGATTCATGTGATGAAAACTCTTGAGAATTGCCCCCCCCCAATTTTATATATGTCTGTGCTTTCAGGAAGGTTTTTACTCTGCAAGTGACAGAAATGTGAGGACAACAGTTTGAGGCCAGCCAAAGCTAGAGTTAGCAAGATCTTAAATCAAAATATAAGTTGGACATTGTGGTGTAACCCTGTAGTCACAGCTAGACAGGAGGTAAAAATAGAAGAGCCATGATCCAAAGCCAGCCTCGGCAAAAAGGAGTGATATATATGTGTGAAAAATCAACTGACACGGGGCTAATGGTATGGGTCAAGAGTGTTGCCTAGGAATTGTAAAACCCTGAGTTCAAACTTCAGTACCATCAAATAAAGAAAACTTTTTAAAATAATTTGCAGTTTTCAGTTTTTCCAATTTCCTGAAGGGAAACTTTGTTTTCTCTATTATGCTAATCTTGTAATTTGTGGAAGAAGCAAAGAGAATAACTGATTTTTATGAATGAAGCAACCAGATTCTTTGAAAAAGCAGTACAAGAAGAAGGAGCAGATGAAGAAGTAGGAGGGGCTACAGACAGTCTGGGGTCTGGGCCAAAACAGGAGCCTCTGAAAACAACCACTGACTGATTTCCTGAATGAGCTTGAATGTAACAAAAAAATTTTAAAAATTAAAAAATAAAAAATAAAAACAAAAAACACTGCATATGTAGCCAGGTGCTGGTGGTCCACAGTTGTTATCCTGCCTACTCAGAAAGCTGAGAGATAGAAGATCACAGTTTGAAACCAGTCCTGGCAGAAAAGTCTGACAGACTCCATCTCCACAACAGATAGCTGGATGTAGCTGTAGACACTTGTGTCACTAGCAACTTTGGAAGCTTAAAAGTAGATGGATCAGTGTTCAGTAATGTGCTTAAGCAAAAAGCTAACATAGCAAGCAAAAAAGAGCTGGAGGTATGCCTCAAGTGGTAAGGTCTCAATCTAGCAAGTTCTAGGACCTGAGTTCAAACCTAGTACTACTGAAATAAAAATCTCCAACAAACTTGCATTATGTGCTCATAAATCACTTTCTCCAATGAAAAGCATCATTTGTATGTGGTTTGTCAAAAAGGAACATGTCCAATATTGTAAAACCATGAATGGCAAATCGACTTTGTTATTTTCTGTTGTTGTTGCTGCTGCTGCTGTTGTTTTGTGCCAGTGTTGGAGCTTGAACAAGGGCCTAGGCATTGACCCAGAGCTTTTATGATCAAGGCTAGTGCTCTGCCATACATACCTCCACTTCTGGCCTTTTGGCGGAATGGGATATTAAAAACAGATGCACTTTTATTGTTTTTAGCATTATCTCCTTTTCTGTGAATTCATCACAGTAAGTCAGCTGAAAAAAACCACGTTGTAGAGTTTGCCCCTATGATATTCCCAGGTCTGTCCATTTTTTGTCTTCTAAGACCTCATTCATGGATCTTTATCTGTTTGACCTCTTTTAAATATGGGTCTTTTCATCTCTATTATTTGCTTCTTAAATCATAGCTCCTATCCTATATTAAATTGTTGATATATATATATACACATATATATTCTTTTTATTCTCCAGTGGGCTGTAAGTCTCTTAAAGTTATGAATAATATTTTCTACTTTTTCATTTTCCTAAGATACCAAAAACAATAACACACAAGAGTGAACACATCAATAATTTCTTGTATTACCTAATATTGAACGAATAAATGAATAAATTCCATTCTTTACTTGTTTACATGAAAGGATTGGCAGAACAAACTTAAACTCTAGATGAAAGTTGAACATTTGTTTGGTTAAGTAACAAAATGAATAATGCCATTATTGTAGAGTGCCAATTTTAGAAATTGTGGAGGCTTTTATCCAGAGGTGTCACATTATTTATGTTTGTTGTTTCTTTTGATCAGATAACCTGGATGAAAATCAGATTGTTCTTCATCTTGAATTGGACTGACCTAGCCTAAATGTTCAAAAGCAAAACCACACTCACCAAATACATTTAAATATTCTACTTTGTCATAGTTTTTGCTTTCATCAATGTTTATTTTATATATCCCTATGAATCTTTATGGATATAACTTTTGAGGATGCCATGCATTATCGATTGCTCTATACATTTGTTCAGCCTTTTTTTCCCAAAAGGCACAATATTGTTATAGAAATAACAATAAAATGCCTTCTAAGAAAAAAAAGTTTTAGATAACTTTTTTCTTCATTTCTTGTTACACACTAAACAGAGATAAGGAAGCAAACAAACAAAAGCTTCCCCAAGCAGGAAGTTGGGAAAGCAGAAACAGGAAGTTGAAAAAATCAGAGAGACTCAAAAGGGCACAAAAGCTGCAGACGAAAAACAGCTGTTCAGTGAAGGTAACATTTGCTCACCATGCATTTGAAAACAAATGGGAGACTTCACAGCAAAATCTTATCCTAAAGGAAGTGCTAAAGAAAATCAACCATTAGGGCTGGGAAGGTAGCTCAGTGGTAGAATGCTTGCCTCATAAGCATGAGACCCAGAGTTCAATTCCTCACCACCACCTTAACAGAAAAAAGCTGGAAGTGGTGCTGGGCTCAAGTGGTAGAGTGTTAGCCTTAAGCTGAAGAGTGGAGGCACAGCACCCAGACTCGGAGTTCAAGCCTCACAACCAGCAACAAACAAACAACAAAAAAAAAACTTAACAGTAGTCTCCTTGTACAATTGAGGCTTTGTTTATGTGAAAATCCTTTCTACAAGGATCTCCTGAAATGAAGTTAAGTCCTAACATTTTGGTAACTTCAACAGCCCAACACTTATCTCCCAGTTTAGACTTTTCTTCCTCAAAAAACAAACAAACAAACAAAAACAATTATTCATTCAGGAAAGCAGAACAAAGAACCTGACATGCATAGCTGCTAGACAGATTGCAACTTCTGAAGGGAACAAGGCAATTTTTATCCTGTGTATGACATAGATTATCCAACATTGAGGTAATCAAAGAAATTAGCATTAAATCTATCTTTGTTAAGAACTCTTAGCCAATGACAGTTGACATGGGAATATTTCCTTCCTGCTTCTTTACTTTTTTATTTGCTTTTTTTTCCCCCCCTGTTGGTCATAGGACTTGAACTCAGGCTTTGTACCAGGATTTTTAGATCTCAGCCATCTGAGTAGCTAGGATAACCACGAACCAAACCAGCAGCACTTGCTATGCTTCTTTACTTTTTGTTTTCTGTTTTGGATTTTCAGTGTTGCTGGTCAAACAAAATAATCTCACATAATTCACAAATCATGAATTGTAGTGTAGGAAAGATGACAGCATACTAATATTCCTTTCACTTTTCCTCACTTCTTATATTGACCACTAGGTATTTTCATGATCTCACTGTATGCTGATAGTTTCTATTACTCATATATATGTTCATTTACATTGGAATAATTTATATTTTTGTAAAAAATTGTCAGTACTGTATATTAATAGGGGCAACACCAAAATCATAAAATGCATGTTACCTTCCTTTCCCAAAAGGTCATTTCTAATTTTATTATCTTTTGTGTTTATATTCCTGATAACTGAACTAAGCGCATTAGGGCATCAAGTGGAGATTTGTTCGTGTCTAGGTGGCAT